ATATATATATATATATATATATATATATATATATATATATATATATATACACACACACACACGCACAAAAATAAACATTGTAAGGGGTGTGAATACTTTTACTGAGTGCTGTATTTCTGCCTTTAACAGTCTCTGGAAATATCCCAGAGTGACATTTGCCACTAAACCAGGCAAGTCTTTAAAAGAGCTTTTATAAACACCTATAATGTCTACATTTAATGAGAGCTGTCAGCCCAGGTTATGTAACATGATACTAGCCACACTGCCACGAAAAGGAAGAATTACTGTGAAATTTTGACTGTCAGGACCATGGACAGCGACCAAACACATACGTAAACAAAAGGCTTCCTTGTCCAAACCCTTCTCTTCATGACAGCATTTTAAATGGTGTGCCATTGCTGCTGTCAAAAATGACTATGAGACTGAATAAGCTGCAACTCTGCTCCAAACATTCATACAAAACAAGCTTCTTTATTTTTATCCAGAGGTTTCAGCCAGGCAATACATTTTCGGCCAGGAGCCCTATTTTCAATAGAAACTGAGCGTGAAGGAACCGTGTGTTCCTGCTGTCATTCGAAGGTCTTTTAAAACTTTATCAGTGAGTATTAATTTCAGAAGTAATGGACCAGTGTTTCACAGCTGCCATAATACTCACAGGTTAATGACACGCAACCAGAGTGACATTTAGATCAAGTCAGGGCATTTTGGGGAGGGAATCCACCACATTACCATAAGGATGCCAGCCATTGTGTATGGTTCTGCTTTTAACATCCATCTTCTGCGGCTCCAGGGATCAGAACTCGTGTTAGTGGCAGGTTTTATGGTTTATAGATGGAAAGTAAAAAAGGCTGTGTGTTTCCTGCAGGCGAAGCAATGATTTACAACTATGAATGATAAAGTAAGCACCCGTCCGACAGCATGGATGTGTGAGGGCTGCTGAGGATCCAGAAATATCCGACATGAGGATGTGAGTGTAGCTGTGCAGTGAGAGCGGTCACCGCAGTGAGGTTATGTATGTTGGAAGGCAGCGCAGAGGAAAAAGTCCTGGCTTATTGGCTGGTATCAGTACCTGACATCATCCTCTCACATAATTAGCACACTGTCCACATCCTTCTCCAGTGACCGGGGATTATTTCATGTGGTTCACAACTGGAACCGAAGCCTTACCAGCAAATCTAACCCGGACTTTAAGTACATCTGGGTTCTGCAGTCTGCAGACATGATTGCTGCTCACTAGAGCAATTTTTCTCCAGAAAACAATCTGATATGTTTATTGTTATCTTCATTTTAATTTTAGTTGGCTTGTTTAAATGTTATACGAGTGGGATGATCACCTGGCTTAAAGCTGAAGCAGGCCTCTCGTCAGGGCTGTCTCAGCCTCCAAGCAACTGATCCAAGACAGCAGCCATAAAATCCTCTCTGGTGAAGTCGTCAGTCTTTAGCCTAGACCGCAGGCGTGCGCCAAGCAGATCAATAATCCCCATCAAGCTTCACCACAAGCCACTCAAACGTCTGAGGACAAGCAAGCAGAGGAGGGTCGGGGGAAACCTATGAAGAACCTGATACTCTCTGAGATGTCTCAGACTGGAAGGGATGAGGACCCGTCTTGTGCAGCTCTGTCTTTCTTTTAAACATCCTGTGTCCTAATTAGATTCTTCCACCTCAGCCTGTGATCGATCTCAGGTCTCACCCCCAGAGGGGAGCTGATGGGGATGTCAGATGACAGTCTTTAAGGAAAAAAGAGAGAAACACGAGGCCAGAACCAGAAATTTATAAGGAACAAAAAATGTTGACTCTGCACCCTTGTTGAGATGAGAATATATTTCATAATTATGTTCACATTATACTGAATCAGTCTTATGGAGAATAAATACCGACTAGTACCTTAGAGACAATAAAAAATGAATTTGCTTTTATTCTTTACTTTTGAAAGATCATTTAAAGAGAACTGTTGGGTTAGCAGTATAAATACTCAGAGAAAATGTGTCTTATGAATTAACACAATTACAAAAATAGAGAACCAGTGTGTTTAAGAAATGTTGAACCAAGATACATTTTCTAACCCTGTTTAATTGTTAGTTAGAGGCAAAGGTAACTGTAACTGGTTGAACTGAATTAAAAAAAAAGTTTAATTTGACTAAATAAATACAAATAAAGTATGTAATTCAATTTAGCTAAATTATCTGCGTTTAATTAAACTGTGATGAAAAACAGTACAAATGAGTGAAATGAGCTGGAATAAAGTGAACTGAACTGAATTGAAATCCCCTGAATTGAATTTCCCTCCCTGGATCAGCAGTCACACCTGCATCTTTCTGGGAGTATCTCTAGAGGCAATTTCCAAGTCTTATTCATAGCTGAATTAATAGTAAAACCAAATATTGTTCCAAACACTATATATATTGAATTTAAGGCTATTTAATTCTAACAAACAAATTTGTCTCAACTCAAACATTTATCTTTAAAAACACCAACTCATTGATCTATCAATAAATAAACAATATACAAGAAGTATGAACTTTGAAATAAGCAATTTCTCAGTTTTTTTGTTTGTTTTTTTTGTTTTAGGCATGTTAAAATGTTACTTTAATTTACTGCCCAGATTTTTCATGTTTCCTTTAAATGGTCCACTTACCATCAACCTAAGCATTTGCTACCTCTAAAGATTTTCATGCTGCAGGAGGGAAATTTGATTGGCCACTTAAAACCTGTACTCTTACTTCATTGTAGAAGAAAAAACATTAAAAAAAAAAGAAAATTAAAACTAAATCTGCCAGACTGCCTTAAGTCCACGTCTATATTATGATGTAACAATTAAATGGGCTTTTATCTAAACCTGTATGGATGCTGTTTTGTCCCAATAGAAGCTGCATCTCTTGCCAAGTCTTGCATCCTTGTATAGCTTCTAACAGGTTTACTCAGATTAGGCATGAAAATAACACTTTTATTATTTTAACAATCTAATCTTCATGTTATCACAAAATGTAATTATGTGAATTCCCTGTGCATAATATTCACACCCCTAAAGCAGTTTGACAACCACAAGGTCGGCCTCATGATCAGCCAATGAAAGTAATGCATAATCTAACATAATAACTATTGTCATCATCCTCATTAAGCAAACCCTTTCTAATTCTAACCAGTGATTGTCTTTGCTGTGAAAAAGGAACCTCAAACTCCCTTCTTCCAACATCTTTTGACTGACCCCTGCTTTAACATCTTAATCAATTGGCTGAACTACAACAACAGCATGCAACCATGTACTGCAAAGGTTTGTCAATGAAAACTTTGAATCAATTTGACTATATGATCTGGTTGAATTGTCTCTGTAAAGTGCCTTGAGATGACATGTGTTGTGAATTGGTAATATGTAAATAAACGGAATTGCATTTAATGATTTGAATATTTATTTGAGGTTTGATCAAGCAGAAAAAACAATTTGGAGGATATATTGAAGGACATGTGTTTGAAACCCCTGATCTAAAGTGTTGACTAGCAGCTCTTGCTGTATGTGTAAACCTCCAGCCAAGCTTTTAGTCTTTTTTTGACTTTAGCAGTTTCTTAAAGGCTTTACTCCATGCTTACCTTGTAGCTCCTAAACTTTGTTCCATTCATCCTACCAACAACGCTGACCATCTACCTATAATAGATTAAAAGATGAGATGCTGGTGTCTTCAATATCTCTCTGGTAAAATTTTGGATTCACCTGACTAGACCAGCATCTTAGTTTGCTCGGTGCCTCATTTAAACAATATTGTTCAGGGTCCTTTCAACCGTGGCTTTCCTCATGCCGATCTTTAAAAATAAAACTAAGCAGAGTTCAAATCTGAAAAGGATGCCCACCTTACCTGCAAATCTCTGCGGCTCCTCTATAGCTCCCTTTCTCCCTTTTGATCAATTCCTGACCTGTGAGTCCATTCATCATCCTGAAAAGACTTTTTAAAAACACCCTCAATGACAACCTGGTATTTTTGTATAACTATCTATAGTATGTGACTTCAGCACTACTTGGCTGCAATGGATTATTTTAGGGTTATCAAATTAAAAGGTATAGAATACAAATGCAAAATAACAATTATGACCTGCATTTTCATTTTCCTTCAAAGCAACCATATTTTAGTCATACAGAGCCAATGGGAAGCCTGAAGAGCCCACTAAAAGGGAATACCTAAAGTTGGCGGCTCTAATTGGACAAAATTAAAAAGAAATCAAAGGGTATGAATATTCTTATGAGAAATTATTTTAATTGTGGTTTTAAGATTTCCTTTTAGCAGTGCAAGCTCCATTTAATGTGTGTAAAATGTGTCTTCTCCAGGTGCAATGTCTAAAAAAGCCAGGTCTCATATTGGACTTGCTCCTCTGCGGGGGCACTGGTGGGTTAAGCAGCAGTATTTCTCCAACTATGAGTCTGGCCTCTAATTGGATCACAGGGTTGTTTCTGGTGGGTCTTCAAATGTCAGGCACGCCAGTTTGTTTTAATCAGTAAAGGTCTCAAAGCAGGAGTCGGTTTACACAATTTATGCCTGAGCTGAAAGGGTTTACTAAACGTAGCTATAAAAGTGCAGTGTGTGACTCCCTGTCAGCCTATATGGTGGCCAAGCCAAGGCCAGAAACTGGTAGATCCACTGGGAGTGTAATAACAGATTAATGTGGCTTGCCAGGCCCCGCGACCAGACGTGTTTGACGTTAATGCTCCACTGTATATTATCCAGCCTGGAGAAATGTTGAATGTGAGCGATGGGATCCAAGGACAGGGATGTTTAGGTACTAATTACCAAACAGCAAGGCACAAGTCTTGCTCCATATTTCCTTACCCCTGTGGAAACACTAGGCAGGCTCCATTTATTTTCTTTGACTGTTGTTTCTGGCACGCCAGCGTCTCGGTAAACACCACTCGCCCACCATTGTAAATCCGACAGGCGCAGATCTTTCAAGTTAGACTCCTTTGAGGAAAAATGGAGACAGATCGGATGGCGGCGCTCGGCTTTTCCGTCTTAATGAGAGAGTGGAGAAGAAGGATGGCGTTTGATCCCTGGCATGGAAGCCTCTATTTAAGCCTGTCAGCGGTCATCACTCTCTCTCTGTTATGGATAGAGAAACAAACCTGCACCGCTGGATTTGATCAGCTCAGTCTGTCAGCCACACTTAACCCTTTCAAGCACACTCGCTATCACCGAGAGACTTCTCGTCTCTGTGACGACCTGTAAGTATCAGCTGATTGATCACCCTTCAGGAAAAGAAAAGGCAGAAGCAGATCTGTGAAAATATTATTTTATTTGCAGAGCTTCGCTGTGAGCAACCCTCTCAGTCATCAAGCTCCGATTTCATATCATGTGCTTCTCCAAACCATACAAAAGCCTTATAGCTCTTTGAGGAAGTCTTGCTATAGTTGCAACCTCACGGCAAGCCAAAAACAGCAAGCCCCAAGAAAAGTTTCCATTCTCCTCTATGTGGACACTGAAACTCATAAACCTGAAGTTTAAAGCAGGGGATGTTGATGGACTCATCAGAGCAAGGAGCTCCAGGGCAGGGCTTCTGACTACTAGGAGACTGGTCTGGAAGATGGCTTTCATCGCACCACTAATGGCTCTACCTAATCAGACCTGATTGGACTGCTAAATAAATAGTCTCCCCATTTATAATATCATGAGGTAACTTGAGACAAAATCAATACCTCAACTGGATTGCAGCAGCCAGAGAGAAAAACTAGCAGCTTTAAATCCTTGCTTTAATAGATTTATCCTAATGAGTCCATGGGATATTGGCATGTGTTGCTTATTTTGAGCAAAAGTAGAAAGGTTAGCAGTTTTCACATTTAAAAGTGTTCTGCATTAGCTTTTAATAAGACAGGTTAGTGCATAAAATCTATACAGACTTAAAATTTGTTCTCTAATAACCTCCATCAGCAAGAGTTTGTTCATTTGATTTCTGAAGAAAAAAAAACAAAGAATTATACAAAAGAGTAGGAGTGAATCTCAAGATACGCTTAAGCTGAAATAAAAACAAATACTCCAAAAGAATCAGGGACGATCTGAGCTGCGAATTGGGGCTGTCGAGTTCGGAAAGCTTTGAGCGTTAATCATCCATCACAGATGAAACAAGGTGTCTCCCCAGGAGCCCTGAACTCGATAATAAACACAGGAGTCAGGCTAGACTTCTGCGGGCTTGGGAATAAATAAAGTGAACTACCTTGACATCAGCAGCTAGTAAAATGTTTCGACCGTGCTGTGGAGTCTGTATGAAAGGGGGCTTTGTCTTACAAGGAATGTATAAAGACAGACACAATCATGTTTAGGTAAAAAGAGTTTTGTCAGAAGTTTCACAGCAGCAATGACTGAAGCTGGCTTTGGATCAAGTTAAACATAGTACAATCTATCTTCTGCTCTCCCTCTGTTTTGCCATGTCTGCTGGTGTTATTGAAATACCATCTACGTACAGAGAGAGCTGAATTATTGCTATCCATCACATCTGGGACTGTCAAAGACAGAGATCTTATGTTTCTACAGAATGTCACATGAAGAATAAGCTAAAAAAAAATAAAAGTGTAATTTTAGATTTATTTATGGATCTTTTGTGTTGCTTATTTATTTTGTTGGAGCTCAGGTTGGTTGGCGAGTTATTTGGCCAGTCTCCTCGCCACGTCTCTGTAGGCTTTCTCAATCTCATCCTCAGCAGCGCAGGTGTTGGTGAACTCTTCACGTGAGGCGGCGTTCTTCAGATATCGCCACACACCTGTCATTTCTGAAGGGATGTCGTAGTTGCGATACTTCTTAGCAACAACCTTGAAGACAGAACACAAAATATGTTGTTAGTGGCAGGCAATTTCCTGAGTTCAAAGAGGGTCAGAATAAATAATCCTCAAAAGTAAAAAATCTATTTGCACAACATATTCACATATTATAAATACTACACATTTGTTTTGCTTGTATTTAGAAATGGAGCCTAAGCGGAAGTTCAACTAAATAAAGTGATTTCTCGCCTTCATCCGCCTCCAACACCAGCTTATAAGCTTTGAAATACACCTTCAAAAAAGACCAATCAGCTTACAGAGTTAATCTTAAAAGGTCTCTAATCACACTCTGTCTGCTACCCAAGTCAATGGTTGCGTTATGTCCGACTTCACTTCAGATGAACTTTCAACCCCCCTCCATCCCCACCATCGTAAGCTTCATCAGAGTTGAACTCCTCCCGGACTCTTACTGAGTTCCCTGTCTCATTTCAATCGGTCCGGCAAAAGACCGCCATGTTGAGCCTGGTTCTGCCAGAGGTTTCTTCCCCCTTCCCTTGGGGAGTTTTTCCTCTCCACTGTCACTTCATGCTTGCTCATCATGGACAGGTTCTCTCAACCTGTGTTATCCAACCTGGACTTCCATCTTCCAGGTCCCTGAGTGAAACTCTAGTATGAGCTCATGCAATCCACTGGATCTTTTCATACAGCTCAGCATACCGTCTCACTAACCAGCAATCATGGACAGACCAACTTTATCTTCACTCCACCACCACTTTCAGGCCTGGGGGGAAACATCCCTGTTCTTAACTCCTGTTCGTGCATATCAAACATCATTCAGCACTATGTTTCCTGCCGAGGTCTGAGTGCCAATGACTAAAGTGTTTGTATCAATAAAATTCTTCTCTTTACTTTCCGTGTGAGTTTTTCAGATTGAAATTCAATCAGGCTAAACCATTTCAATTTTGGTCTGGGTCAGTTAGATTTCTTTTTGTTTTTTTGCAAAATATTTGTCAAAACAGCAAAAAACACAAAAAGAAATCCCCATCTTAGGCCATTTTTATACCGAGTAGATGTGGGTTGAGTTTAAGAGGAGCAAGGCCTCCATGCTAAATGGTCAAAGCCCCTCTCCTTGTACCCTTTAAAAATAATCTTAATGTTGCACCTTTTTCAGAACTGGATAAAGGTACTTACACTTACTTATCCTCATGAGATCATGCTACTGTAATAAAATAAGAAACTGTCACCATCAATAAGTGTATAGTGCAATACATACCTTTAAAGGAACCCAAAAATAATTTTCAGACAGCAGTTGTCCCCATTATCCAGTTTAGTTCTGGGTGATTTAGGCCCCTAACCTACCTTGACTATATGCAGTTTGGGCAGCAGATTGCAGTCTGCCAAAGTCAGCTCATTTCCATCCAGGAACTTTCGGTTGGAGCTCTTTTCTTCCTCCATACTGTTTGCATCGATCTCCTCTGGCAGGGGGCTCGTCAAGTAATCATCAAGCTTCTTCAGTGCCTTGGTTAAAGCCTTCTCCAGAGCTAAACACAGAAACATTGATCCTCATACATGCTGAAGTTTTACAGTACAGTTATCTACCCTAAGGTTACTGGGTGTGCATAACAACAATTTCCACTAGATGACAGCAAATTGAGTCTCCAGGATGCAAGATAGAGCTACAAAAGTTAAGCTTTGCTGCAACCTAGTGGAGAAATTTGATAAAGACAAGTTGCAGGTTTTCCTGCACATATAGTATGTATACCCTGGCAGAAAATGAGCTCCTACCAGCATTGGCCTCAGGTTTGGTGTTCTTGATGAAAGCTGAGAACTTGGCAAAGATGTCATTTCCAGCTGTATTGGAATCTCTGTGTCTGGCAGCCAGTTTGGGATACCTGAGCAGAAATGAGGGATAGGACAGTCAGAGTAAAGCATCTGGATGGTATTAACACCTGGACATGAGCTCAGCACTGAATTTAAAACAAGTTACAGGACCACACTGAACTGGCATCCCACTCTGTTGGGTGTTCACACAGTAAGGTCCTTTTATATTGTAAAAAAAAATTAAATAAAACTTACTCACTTCATACACAACAGAAGGCAAAGTAGGTGATTTGGAGCTTTCAAAGCAACTTTGAGGACATTTTAATAGACAATCGCGAAACCCAATAAATCAATTTTGGCTTTGTTTGAAAAACATCAAACATGTGGGACAGAGCTTAAAATATTGATAGCTAAGAATTTTATTTAATGTACTTAAAGGAACCTAAACACATAAACATAAACAATGACCCCTAACAACCTATTTAAATTTTTTTCTGAAAATGACAATTTTAATCAAAGCTGACCATACTTTACTCGACTAAATGGCTTTTTTACCTTCAGCTTCAGCACTAAAGTGTCATAAATCTAACCATAAGCAGGCACTGTGTAGTCTAATAAGGCACACATGGTGTTGTAAAGCTTTCCATATTGATTACTTTGGAGGGCAGAGCACTTCCTCGAGAAACTCCTCAATCTTGTTGATGTCGGTCCTGACGTCCCCGTCGAAGGTCAGGAAAGGAGGGTGTGTTCCCGGTGCCAGCTTCTGCAGATCCTCTGGCTTTCTGCAGTGGACACAGAGAAATATGTCATTTTAAAAAAGAGGAAAGCGAACAAAAAGTAGAATGAGCAGCTCTGCCTTCACCTCTTGAGGTCAACAGTTGTGACGTTGAACACCACTCCCTTAAGCCAGAGGATCATGAAGAGACGCTGGGAGAAGGGACAGTTGCCAATGCTTTCCCCATCACTTCCTGCCTGCACACAGACATAATCAGTAAGGCTGATGAATTACACATAAAAATTACATGTTTAGACTCAGACTCAAACTTGGACAAACTTTATTGTAGTTTTGTATACACAGAGTGTATACAAAACGAAATCTGTTTATACAGTTGTTTACATATAATCTTTAAAAAGACACACATCCTGCGACCTTTTCTCTTTGAAATCAATGTGGTTCATCTTAAATCTTTCTGTGCTAAATAGCTTTCTATAGATTTCTTTAAATTCAGAAGTCTACAGTGGTAGTCATCAAAATGGCCCTTCCCAGCCGAATAGCAGCCAAATAGCAGCCAAATAGCAGCCAACTTCCCTGCAACTTCCAGCTATATCCCCTCTAACTTCCAGGTACTGGAGTGACCCCCAATCTGACTCCACCTTTTCACTCATTTACAGGGTCTGACCAGCATTTGATGATGCTTCTCTTCAGATCCTAATGTCCACAAATCATTAAAGAAAGAAAATATTTTAGTAGAAAGATTGATGTTTAAAAAGGAATTTTAGGGGACCAGCCAAGGGCCCATCAAGGAAAGTGGGGACATTTTGAATGACCACTATTGTATATACATTGCTTAAAATGTCTTACTGTTTGCTTTTAAAAGTAATGATGGCAAACATATGAGGTATTGATCAAGCTACCTACAATAGTTGATTGGAATTTGGGTGTACCATCATGACAGGTCTAATAAAGAAGCTGGCTGAAGCTGGTAAAATGATTGAATTATATACTGTGAAAACCAACCCTTTATC